ATAAATATATTTATTGAGAGATAGAGAGAGAGAGAGAGAGAGCGGCAGAGAAAGGTATTTATATATGAGTGAGCTGGTGGCGGAGAGAGAGAGAGAGAGAGAGTTAAAACTTTGACAGATATTTGCTAGTTTGTATTGTAATTGAGAGAGAGAGAGAGAGAGAGGTTGTTGTTGTTTTAGCTAACTGATATAAGCATTGGCTTTACCTAAATAATTCAAGCCATTAGGCTGCGAGCCACTTCTTAAAACGGCTGTGACCATATCGGCGAGCAAGAGAGAGAGAGAGAGGGAGATACAAGAGGATATGCTAAAAATAGGGCTCAATTTTTTATATATATTGATGGAACACAAAAGACGTTAAAGAAATTTAATTTTTTTTTTTTTTTTTTTTTAGAATTTCTTCGTTTTATCAATGTTGTTGCTGTTTGCTGTTCATGATTGTGAAAGCCTTTCGTCTAAAAATTGCATTTCGAATCATGTTTACGGCATATATATATAAAGAATATTATATATATATATACATGTGTGTGTGTGTGTGTGTATTTGTATATGCATCTGTGTGTGCGTGTTAAGTATAAGATTAAATACCGTTTGCCCAGTTCATCGCTTTGCTGTTTGATATCCTTGACTACGTCATCCGCACCAGAGACGAGCATCAAAGGCAAATTTAGCCAAGGCCCAGCGAGTTCACTCAGATCAGAGCCATCCGAGGCGCGTGAGGACTTGCGCGAGGAGGCGCGACTGGAGCAGGCAGTGCCACGACGGCTTACCTATAAGAAGGATTGATTAGTCAAGCGGAGCAAGGTATCCATCATATTTCAGAGACTCACCTGCAGATGGAAGAAGTTGAGCGCGGAGAGCTTCGATTGCCAGCCGCCTGGACTAGAGTTTTGCGTAGCGCTATCGCCCGAATTGGAGCGTTCCTTTTCACTTTTGCGCCTGAAATAAGTATAGAATCATATGAGCCATAGATTTATAAAGAAAATCATTATAATATATAGTAAGGGATTGTGTTTGGGCTAGCTGCTGTTAGTACCGCAAATAGTCCTTCCATGCGGTCTGTATGGTCTTTGCTGCCTTTTCCTGGCGCTTCCAGATCCGTGTTGATGAAACAATTTCCAATTCTTTTCGTGTTGGAAACTGTTTCTTAAACTTGACATCCATTTGTTCCTGCAACTGTTTGAAGTTATCGGTCTCCTCGACATGACCTAGCACGTGCTTAACTAGCGCGTGCAAAATGTCGAGACAGTGTATTTTATTACCCTTCGAGATGGGTAGATTAAATGACACTAAAGCGACATTATTGGGCTTCGAGATGCCCAATGGTGGATCGAGTGAGGCAATAAAATCGGACAGTTGCGAGAAGTGTATAAATTGGGTGGCATGTGGATCATATCTGTAACGAATTCAAGTGCAAATTTAATCTTAGTATTCGGACAGTTTCCGTGTTCATTGCCGACTCTAGATCGAGAACCTACTTGGACCAGCGTATGTAAAACATTTCCAAATCGTCTTCAACGATGCCAATCTCCTCTTCCTGATGCGCCTGATTGAAGTTCTCCAGAATGATGGCAATGTACATGTTAATCACAATCATATAACTGATTATTATGAAGCTCGTAAAGTAGGTGATCGCCAGCAGCGGATGGCCGCAATCGCCGTTCGTTTGCCTATTGAAGAACGGATCACAATCCGGCGGCTGTATCATTAGCGACTCCAGCACATCATTCCAGCCTGCCGACGTCATCAGACGGAATAGCAATTGCATGCTACGGCCGAACGTCTGAAAGTTCACCATGTCATCCAGCGCGCCTTGCAGCTTGACATGTCCAAACAGCGACATGCCCAATATGGCATAGATGAATGTGATGAGGCCGAGCAGGGCGCCAATGTTGAAGAGGGCGGGCAGCGAGACGACCAAAGCAAATAGGAGCTTGCGTATGCCTTTGGCCGCCTTGATGAGACGCAGGATGCGGCCAATGCGAAAGACGCGCACCACACGCAACAGCGTCGGACTGATGGGCAAATCAATCATGATGTCTTCCATGAGTATGCCGAAGATGGAGGCCAACACCAGCAGGAAGTCAAAGACATTCCAAGGCACCGTGAAGTAATGATAGCGCAGACCCACAATCTTGACTATGGCCTCTGTGAAGGATTGAGTGTCGTATAAGTGTGAGTATAAGAGTTGATATGAGATAGGTATAATATATATGAAATAGGTATAATATATAAACTATAAACTATCAGTTCGTATAGGCTTTTGCCTAGTTACGGGCACTTACCTAGTCCAAAGACCGTGGTGAAAAATGCATTGCTCACTTCTAGTATAAAGAACACAGCATGGGGCTGATCGTAGTGCTCAATGCCCATTGTAAGCATATTTAGAAAAATCAGTACAAAGATCGCTATTTCGAATCTGCATATATGATCGATGCCGATTCAATCGTATACATACATATGAAATTACAAACAGATATTAATTAAGTAAAGAGGTTTCGAACAAATGAGAGAGACACAGACTTCGTGCGTGCCGAAGTGCAGATGCTGCTCAAAGAACATCAACTATCAAAATATATATACAGATATTTGAGTAGCATACGACTAAGGACTAGTTCTATGTTTATGCTCATGCTTTACGATATTATTTATGTTGTAGTATAATAATAGTTACAAAGATTAAATCAACCCCCAACCACTAACTCTGTCAACTATTTACTTTATTTTACAGAGTGCATGCCCACACTTCACAGAGTGCGTTTAGATTTGAATTTTCGAATGCATTAGGAAACATCTATTTATATTAAGATATACGTATAATTAGTAGTAGTAGTAGTAGTGCTCTAAAACATCTATAAACATATCGGATTGGAAAAGATTTGTAGTTGCATTATGGCTTATAGGCGTTTGGGCGACTTCTTCGGGTTGCGCTAAAGAAGCAGCCAACAAAACAGCCAGCGAAACATCATCAAATGCGGAGAATGTGAAGTGTTCAAATGGATTTTATCACCAAATCAAAAATTATATAGATATATATTTAGAGAGAGAGAGACAGAGACAGAGAGAGAATGGTCTAGATCGATGCCTAACCAGCAGTAGAGTATTATGTTTATAGAGCTAACAGTATATAATTAAAACTATATATTTTCAATTTACATAGAAGTATAGGTTAAGCAAAAATAATTGTTTGTGGGTGTTTGCAGAAAACTTTTTGGTTTTGTTTACCTTCTCGAATTGGATAAATCATAAAACATAGCTAAAAAATGATTTATAGGTCGCTTAATAACTTTCTGTGGTTTCTTTCGTCCCAATTTTTTCATAGCGGTGTAATAATGTTTTTGAGATTCGGTGAGAAACATTTCCAACACTCCTCCTTCATACTGTATAAAAGTGATGAGAATAGAATGAACATTTATTTATATATACAATACATACAATACACACATATATAATTATATCAATAAAAACAATGTAAGAAAATCAACACCAATACACACACTAGTTATTGAACACCGATAACTGAATGAACAGAGGGGAAATCAGGGTTTGTACATCGATTGTTTTATACATTTCAAGTGATTCATTTTTCTTTTTTGTTAAGGGTAGTTAAGGGAATTGTTGTTTAGAGTTGTTTTTATATTTATAATATATACAGTTGTTGAACAATTGAGAGTATTGATTAGTCTGGTTAAGAGCTTAGGCCACATGGCTTACCTTCTTCTTGAGCATATTGAAATTATCAATGATAACTCCAATGAATAGATTGAGTGTAAAGAACGATCCGCACACAATAAAGATAACAAAATAAATATACGCATATAAATTGGCCTCGCGCTGAGGTTGCAAATCGACGCCTCGCGCATCCACAGCATCCGCCATCACCTCCATCCAGCCCTCAAAGGTGGCCACCTGCAGTAGAGCCAAATAGCCCATGCCGACATGATCGAAGGTGATCTTCGAATTGATCCACGTATAGTTTTGCTCAATGCAATCCCATTTATCGTTGACCTCCTACAAGGAGAGCCAAAGGAAAATATGTTATATCAAACTTCCGATCTATGTATATGCAGAGGGAGATATAATTACAGATCCTGATCTGGGTTTTGGCATACTTACAGTAATCGGCAGCAATTCGCCCAACTCATTGACGCATTTGAAAAATTTACCACCAAAGAATTGTACACCCATTATTGAGAAAATTAACCAAAAAACTAAACAAACCAAAAGTACATTGAAAATTGATGGTATTGCATACATGAGAGCATTTACTACAATCCGCATTCCTTGCCACCTGGAATAGAAATGTTTTATGAAACGCTAAAAAATCTGTTACGGATGGGATAATTTCTTTTTGGGGAGGGGATACAGCTACAAAATACAGTTAAAGGCCGAATTATAATATAAGGAATGTGCTTTTCTCATCTGCTAAAAGAACTACACAAAATATGTTGAGTATACGTATATATATTTTACAAGTGTTGACTGCTTATATACAAAGGATAGTATCGATACTATACGAGTCGTTGACTATGTACATTATGGATATATGGAGTTATGGAGATATGTACTACAAAAATAGATTTCTATTCGAAATTCATAAAGAAGACGAGATTGTATTAAACACTGCACAGCTCATTTGGCGCTGATTTCGATTCAATTTGATTTGAGTTTTAAAAGAAATAAGAGTTATAAGAAAGTAGAAACCTACGTAGAGATAGAGAGCTTACACTTGGATTAGCATTAGATAGAGAATTGATTCTCTTTTTCACAGATTCAGCAGTTAGTTAGGTGCAACCTAAGCCTAGAGAAACTCGGTCGGCCACTTACCTAGAGATGGCTCTCAGCGGACGTAACGCTCGCAGAGTGCGCAAAGAGCGCAGAACCTTAAGATTCTCATTCTCTTCAATGAGTAGCGAGAAAACCGAAACCTGAAAAGCAAATAAATACATAYAAATATATATATACATGTACATAGTCTATCACTAAAGATCTTACAAAAACTATAATGAAGTCGAGTATAGTCCAAAAACTGGTGAAATATTTGGAAAATCCCAAAGCCAACCACTTGAGCACCATTTCCACGACGAAGATGAGACAGAAGGAGAAATTGGTCCAATAGAGCACACGCTTTAAAGTCTTATTGCTATCCAAATAGATATCCTCGAAGCAGAGCGTAATACTAGACGCAAAGATCAACACTAGCACAAACCACTCAAAGGCTGGAGTATCGACAACCGTCAAGACAGCCGTACGCACGCGTGTCCAATGCTTGGCACTCGGCGTATCCATGCAGGACATGAACCAGGGGCAACGGAAATACAGGCTGGAAAACAAAAGCATATGAAGATATAGCTGATATACATATATGGTGTCATGATCACTCACTGCTCGTAGCACTTTTGTGGAAAACAATCGTCTGGCACTTTTGGCGGCTTCGCCTGGCCAAAGCTCGGAAAAGTCATGGGATCATTGTAGGCGCCCTGCGAGTTACGTCTCCCACCGACAGTGAGATCGTCTACGTAGGATACCAGACAATGCCATGGTTTTTCGGTGAGTCGTGCAAACGTCGATGGTTTGCTTAACGACGGCTCAGTCTTCTCGCTGCTCGAAGCTCTAAGCAACTCTTGCTGGCGATTGTTGGTGTTGTTGCTGCTGCCCATTCCGGGCAGAGCTAAATGTGAAGCTGTGCCGGAGCTGTGCGACTCGGTGCGTGCCGATTGAAAGGAAGCGGCTTTGTCTAATGTCGATTGTGGATGCTCGGCACGGCGTTGTTTACTACTCACAGCCGTGCTCGCAGCCTTTGTTGTTGTTGCTGCTGTTGCTGTTACTGCTGTGGCAGCTTGCGTTGTGGTTTGCTGTATGCTTGTCGCATGATAGTGCTGCTGGTGCTCAGTCAAAGCAGCCAGCGGCGGTGTTGCTTTCAGCGATGAAATTTGCGCCAGTGTCGGCGGCTCAATGCTCGATTTCAAAGACGTGGGCGGCGTGGCTGGCTGCTTGGCAGCATCCCTACACATTTGCTTCTGTATCAGTAGGTTCTCATACGAATTGGTGCTCTTCAGCGAGAGGCTGTCCATGCGCAGTTTGTCGCTGTTGAGAAACTTGCGCGGCATCTTCTCCGATTCAATGCGCAGCGTCGATATGGGCTTATCCTCCTCGGGCAGCTCCTCGACGCGCTCAATCAGCGACAGCCGCTTGAATCGATCGAACTGCACGCTAAATGGATCGTTCTTCCGTCTCATGAAGGGCGACTGGCTGCCGGATTGATGGCTGCCGCTGGTCGCCGCTACAGCCAGCGCCTCCATTGCGGCAAAGGGGGCGTGTATTTGATCACAGATTTTGCGTATTTCATTCGATATGCTAAAGTCTTCGTCGATCTTGCGCTGCTTCTCTAAGCTACGCCGTTTGAGCTTTACGGATTGTCGCTGGGCGGCAGCGCTGACAGATTGAGAGCGTCGGGGCACAGTGGACAGATCGTAGCTATCGTAGGGATTCAATGGATGCACCACCTCATCGGCAGCTGTGCGTTCCGAGGCGCCAGTTATGATCGCTATGTGATCCATGATCGCTTTGGTTGCTTCATCCGCTGCAGGCGAAGGCTCGGAGAGTGTTGAAATCTTTCTCTCCAGCGAGCTAGTCGAGCGCTTAATCTCTTCCAATTCTTTTTCGAAACTCTGTATGATATTGTCAAATTCAGAGTGCTGTTCCATCAGTGGTTCGCTTTCCTGCTGGCCATTGGAATGGCTGCCACTGTGCCTCGAGTCCAGGGTTTGCATTATGGAATTGGAGATATAGCTAAGATTCGACTTGATACTGCTTGTCGTCGTGGGCTTCTTCTTGCCCAAGAGCTCTTCGTCCTCTTGCAGAAACTGAAACAATTCCTTCTGATCGCAATTGAGCAGCTCCTCGCGCAAATTCGCCTGCTGTGACAACAGCTCATCCTGCTCCAGTGAAATGGAGTTAAGCGAGTGCCCACTAGAGTGTCTTCGCATGGCACTCTCCTCGGATTTGAGACTGCGCGAGGGCAGCAGAGAGCGTTGCGACTGCCCGCTGGATTGGGATAGACGATCGAGGGATTTGCGATAGCTAGGCGAACGTGTTAGCAGCGATTTCTGATACTTGATGAAGGCTTCGTCGGTGTCTTGCAGCGAGCCGCTGCGCTGATCCGCTGCATAGGCGTACGGATCTGTATCTGTGGAATTGTATTGGCCCAGCAGGCGCAGCTCTATGGATTCCGTATATGTCGCCGAATCGTTCTGCAGCGAATCATTCTGTTGTGTGCCCACGCCCGAGGAGATTTGATGCTGTAATCGGCTGCGATCAGCAGCCGCCACGGGCGTTAGATTGGAGGCAACGCCATTGCTCGAGGCGTGCAGCATGGCGCACTCATATGTGGGTGGCAGGGAGTCAGCTACAGGTTGCTGCTGATGCTGTGCTGCTGGCTCCTCATCATATTCCAGGCCATCGACAATGGTGTGCAGGCCATCGTTGAGTGGAATTTGAAAGCCAAAATCGGAGCCGGAAACGGGACGATTCATAGATTCCTGTGGGCAATGAGATAACTGTATAAACTAAACTTCTCCCTTTGGCTATTTCAGCTCCACTCACCTGATAGCTTAATCTATGAAATTTTGTTTCCTCCAGCAGACCTGGCTTATCAATTTCTCTCACTGCCACCGTTCCAGAGTGCGCCTGCTGCTGTGCCTCGAGCACGATTTGCTGAAACTTTTCTGCAAATTTACGCTCTTTACGATCCTTGCGCTCCTGTCGCTTCTTTCTTATCAAATCACGCACGCGTTCTATGCTGCGAGCCAGCTTGGACTCCTCGCCCACCTCCTATACGAAGCAAAGAATTGGCATTAGCTTTAATTGCTTTACAGATGGGGTATGCACAACTAAAGATTACACTACTAATAATCATTTTTGTTTTTTAATTTACACACATATATATATAGAATTAGTTAGTCCAATGCAACAATTTACAATCTAACAGCCAAAAAGCTAAACACTTAGAAACACAAAAAGAAAATTAGTTGCTTTTTTTTAACAAATACAATTAATAATTGGTTTTATGTACAGGCGTTTTTTGTTCACTTTTAGCTTTTTAAATCAAATAAAAATAGCAAACAATTTGTTTAAGTAGGATTTTTAAAGTTTGAGTTTGAAAAAATTACCTTTTTCTTGAAAATCTGTTTAACGGTTTTTTGTGTGTGGTTTTAAATATTGGGTTATTATTTTGGTATTTTTTAGGTGTATTTTGTGTGTTTGTGTTTTAGTATTAAAAAGTTTTCAACGCATTGTGCAAAAGTTGACGAACAGAGTTTTAGTTTTTTAGTTAATACAATTAAATTTTTAGTGCATATGAAAAGATTATTATATTAATACTTAAGACACTGAGACTTAGACAGGGTTTTTATCATAGGAAATGCAATAGACATACGTTCAAATGATATACCAACAACGAAATTATGAAATTTCGTACTAAGCCGAAATTGAATAAACAATATTTAGATATAATATAAAAATTAATGCATTAACAATTTCAACGATAGTTTCGGTGTTTGAGTGGAGATGAGAATTTAAATAATTTGATTTTCGTGTATGTTACACCTTTTTGAGTAAAAAGTGCTTTTCTTTCTGTTTCAGTGTATAATTCAATTGGGCATCAAATGTATTTTTTTAATGCATTTTGTGTGGAATGTGGTATTAGATACTTAATCTAGTTAATCTAGTTACACACGAATCACACTCAAACGACACGCATACAAAGTGCAAGACAAACACCATATAGATGTAGATATATAGAGTAGTATGTAGAGATATATAGGTTATATATAAGTATTTGGGTTTATCGTTAGGATTTTAGTGACAAGCTTTCCGCTTGTGCTCAAGACTCGGTTCGGTTTTTAGCTTAAGGGTTTTCCTTTTTTGTTTAAGTGGCACACACACACACATACACATTTAACGGATAGACATTTAGACATTCCACATAACAATAGATATGAAAAGCATTTCTCTTTCCAAGTGGAAAACGCATTGGACTTGCCTCTTTCTTAGATTTCAGCTCCTCGGAATTGAAGCTGTTGAGCAACAGAGCCAAGAACAAATTTAAAACCATAAAATTTCCCATCACCAAAGTGGGCAAGAAGATGGCAAAGCATGTGGAAGCACCTTGCTGTAATGACAAAATGATTGTATATAGCATATATACATTTATATATAACTATAAAATAAATCCAACCTCCTCTTCGGCACGCATACAATCCCATAGTGGTTCAATCCATTCGCCACACAAAATGCGAAAGATCATCATGAAAGAGTGGAAGAAGTCATTGAAGTTCCATCTGAAAAAAAAAGACTTTATTACACACATTTATATATGGATATATAGAAGCAATCTTACCTGGGCACCGGATCAGGATCAAACTTTTCGGGTGTATAATCTTTGGAAAACAATTGCATGCCAATCACAGCGAATATATAGATGACTATAACAAGGATCAACGTGAGGTTGCCGAGCGCACCAATTGTCGATATAATGATGCTCAACAGCACCTTCATCGTCGTCCAAGACTGCGCCAGTTTCAGTACACGCAACTGCAATAGAAGTCGAAGGAGTTAATAAGCTTCTATCACTCTATGCCAAAAGTTTTCTTACCAAGCGCAGACCCCGCAGCACACTCAGACCATCAACTAGCTCGAAAATGATATCAAGCAGGCTGGCAGTGACAATAATCAAATCAAAGATGTTCCAACCACATAGAAAGAACTCTTTGGATAAAGCCATCAGCTTCACAATGCACTCGAAGGTGAAAATGGATGTGAACACCTGGAAAGTAAAGTAAGTAAATGTTTTCAATAAGACGTTTTATTAGATTTAGCTAGCTCTATTTATATCCACCTTGTTGCCCACATCTAAGGCATTGCGAAAGCTTTCGCTCATGCCATGATGTTCCATGGCCAGAAATGCGGTGTTTAGCACAATGCACAGCGTAATAGCCAGCTCGAAGAGCGGATCACGCACCACCTTATAAAGGCAATTCTGGAATTGTAGCCAGCTCTCGTAATCCGCGCAGCAGTGCACGCAGCGATCACAATTGCGATCAGGCAGATCATCTGAAAGGAGCATAAACTTTAATATATATATTAAAATGATATAGATTCAGTTGATGTCTAACCAATGACGACCACTTCGGAGGAGAACTCCTGATGCAGCGCATATACATTGTGATTCTTAATGCGCGCTATGTTGCCATTGCATTTGATTAGGCGCACCTCGCGTGGCGATAGAGCCAGCTCCACTGTAGAGACGTGACCCATTTCGTTGCCCGTTTCCTGTTCGTCGTGATCGTCCACCACGCCCGAATCATCTTGAGAGGATTCCCGATTGACGCCTCCACTTGAATTGGAGCTCGTCTGGCGACTGCTTGTGATTAGCTGGCCCTTATAGTCAGAGGGATACAGCATATTGGGATTCTTAACGCTACCCTCTCTAAAGCTGATGCGTGTTCGCTGCTGCGATGTTGCAGCTGCTTCGCTTTGAACAAGCTGTTTCTGTTGCTGCTGCTGCTGCTGCTGCTTATGCTGTTGCTCCATTTGCTGGTATTGCTGCTGTGCTTGCAGCGCCAAAGCCGAAGGACGATCCGTGGTGCTGTGCCGCGGACTCCGTCCTGGACTCGGCGTAGCCGAGTGCACTTTAGATCGCTCATGAGCATTGCCATTGCTGCCGTTGCCATTACCATTACCATTACCATTGCCATGATCATTGCCATTGCCATTACCGTTGCCATTGCCAATGCTGATATTGTCTTTGCCTCCTTTTCCCTTTTTTCGCCGCGTCTTCTTTTTGCTGTAGGAGGCGAGCAGCACGCCTTTGCGTGAATCAATTTTCTTCTTATTGTTTTTATTGAGCTTCTTGACATTCAGCACTGAAGGATCAAAGCTAAAAGTGGAATCATCTCGATGATCCAGTAAATCCTTTTTGCGCTCCTGAAAGAGTAATAGAGGGTTTAGCAGAGCTCTTTCTTCGCTTAACTTAACTTACTTCATTTGTAATTTCCGCCTCCTCCTCGTAGCTCAAGGCCACAACAGCCAACATCAAATTGATTAAATAGAAAGAGCCAAAAAACACAACCACTGTAAAAAATGTAACGCTCATTGGACCACATGTAGCTAGAACCTATGAGAGAGCGAGACAGAGCATACGTCAGACTAGATGAATAGCTGAAGAATTCAAGAGTTGCCTTACCATATTGTATACATTCTCCCAATAGTCCAACGTAATCAACTGAAACGTTGTCAGCATGGACCACATAAAGTTGTCGAAATTCGTATAGCCATGATTGGGATTATCGCCAACACAGATGCACATATAGCCCATCGGACAATGACGAGCGCCTGTCAGATTGCCACATAACGTCGGCATCTCGTCCTCATCGTACAGCCAATTGTCCGTGTCATTTACCCAGCTGGAAAGAGGATTAATATATGGTTAACTGTATGAATATATGTACATATGCTAACATATACCATCAAACAGATAAACGGTTATTCATATTATGTAATGTGTATAACATAACATTTTGCTCTGATCTGCCATTTACATATAACGGTTTCTATCATTGCTGTCAGCAATGTTATACATTTGTATAACAGAATTTAATGGCTTATAAAATGGCAAAAACTGCATTAAAATTCTAACTTCTTTATGTTCACACTTGTGACATTATCAGATCTAAGGCTATTTCTCCACTTACATTTTCCAATCCAGATGCGATATATTCGTCCAATCTGTGGGCACATTTCGCACGCACTTGTTGCGCAATTCGCCCATGTAAACCTGCAAGGCGAACAGCGCAAAGACCATCAGGCAAAAGATGGTCAAGGTCATGACCTCCGCCAATTGGCGAAACGAATGCAACAGTGCATTGATAATCGTTTTCAGGCCCGGCATAATGGATACCGTTTTAAGTGCGCGGAGCACACGAAATGTTCGCAGCCCGGCCAGATTTCCCACTTCCATGCCGATGGTCGCGTAGCCACTAGTGATGACCACAAAATCCAGCCAATTCCATGGATTACGCAAATAGGTGTATTTGTTGAGCAAAAAGCCTTTGGCAATGATTTTGATAACCATTTCAATTGAGTAAATGGCCAGGAAGATATATCTGCAAATTTAAAAGTAGTATCGATCAACGAGTGTTAACCAGGCTCAAATCATCAACGAAAGCTGACTACTTACTCCGCTTCCTCCACAGTCTCTGTCATGGCTAGGAATATACAGTTAAACAGTATAGTTGCCATTACACAGTAGTCGAAGAATTGATTTGTTGCTATATAGACACAGACTCGTCGCCATGGGCTCCATGGATGGAAGAGGAATAGGCTTTTGGTGCCAGTAAAACGATGTATATAATTCTTTCGGAAACGCTTCGACACCACACAAAACGTCTGTAAAGAAAAAGTTGATATTGGCGCCATATTAGGGTTGATTTTAACATTTTATCGCTGGCAGCAGCAGTTAACAGTGTTGCTCCTCAATTAACAGAATTGCTCGCTTCGCAATAGAAATGTTTAATGTTAAGCAAATGTCATGCGACCTATCGATAACTTATGAACTGTCAAAGTCGAGCCACGCGAAGCTGCCAGCTAGATTTCCGTTCGACCGTCGTTCTTTCGTTCTCAGGTCGTCTTCGTAAGCAGAAGGAAAATGAGAGCTAAGGTAAAGTCTTGAATTTTCTCTCAGTGAAGAAAAAAATAGTGTATTAAATATTTAAAAAGCAATTGCTACATTGATTGTGTACTCTTGTGTATTTACAGTGGCGTAAGAAGCGTATGCGTAGGTTGAAGCGTAAACGCAGGAAGATGCGTGCAAGGTCTAAGTAAACCTGCCATTCCGCTATCGACCATTTTCGTGGTGAGTACCGTTTGCAGACGGCCGGCGGAGCGCTAGCGCTCCATTTACTGCTTTACTTTCTTAGCTCTCATGTGATATTTTCTTTTACTGATATTCTGTTTTTGTTTTCTGCCATTTCAGGAACTTCTGACGTACAAAAATGAAGAATACCGACTGGGCAATATGAAGCCCGAAGTAATTTGCAAATTTAGTTTTCGACAACCAGAAAAATAAATGTGCTTACTAAAATTCACTTTGAAATTTCCATTTGAGAAAACTTAAATAAATTGCTGGTTTAAAAACGTTCCACAAAAACAAACAGAAAATTTTTGTGTTAATATTGGTCGAAAACGGAATCGGTTTTAAAGTATTTAGAACGTGCTTTTTCAACATAACCAAATATATGTACACATGTGCGGGTCGACTCTCGCTTGTATATGTTTGGAACTGAATTGTGGAAGCGTGAGTGTCATCTGCAGCAGTGCCAGGAAGTTTCTGGAGTCGGCCCACAATGCCAATGTTATTGTATTTAGATTAAGTACAAAAACACTGCCGGGATATCCATAGTTTTGGTTGGATTTTACCAAAAACCTCATTTGGACCTTTTTGTTTTAAATTTCTGCTAACAGGACAAGGGCAACGGCGCTACGCTGAATAAAGATGGKGGGCAGGGAAAAAAAGGTGAGCAAAAGACAAATGGCAAACACCCTCCCGGTGATCAGCTGGGCAGGGTCCATCAGCAATGTCCGACGGCGGAAGCGTCTATTGATTTGTTAGCAAAACATTCTGATTGGCATTGCCTGTTAGCCCGTCTTGTGTTTTGGGCAGGAATAGCAGGTTCATTAGCGCTGATTTCTTCAATTAAGTGTGCTGAGGATAATCAAATGCTCTGCCCGGTCCCCAAGGTCGTTCACCGTTGAGCCGTGTAAGCAGAAATTTTAATGTACCAAGCAGAAATTACGATTGGGGGCGGCAGTTTGTCCGTTCTATGGCCCCCCAACTAGCTGTGGTGTGTGTGTGTATGTGTATGTGTATGCGTGCTCTGTAAATTTGCATGCTCTGGGCAGCTGTATGCAAGTGTGTGTGTGTGTGAGCTTAAGAAAAAGCGTGTGCGCAAAATGAAAAGTTGTGTTAGCACTTGTAACCAGATAAAGTGTAAGAAGGGAGGGGGAGGGGCGATGTATGTTCTTAGATTGTGTACATCTTGGCAAACATGCTGCTGGTCTCTTATCACATGCCACTGCAGATGTTTGCTCTTGCTTTTGGCCAGCTTAAAGTGTGCCATTAAATGCCATTAAGCACTTTGATTTTCCGTTCCCCTTTTGCACACACACAAACACAAATGCCTTGGCGTTGCCATGCGTGCTTGCGCTCAAATGTCTGGCAACATTACGTTACACTTACGCCAGCCCTGATGGCCATTTGAATGCATGTTTACGCTACGGCCCAACTCAGGCCAGTGGAATTATTTGGCCAGAACACGTTTACGTGTGTGTTTGTGTGTGTGTGTTTTTTTTTATGGAATGCCGCCAAGTCTTGAGTAAACTTGCATGTTCACCTATAATTTGTCCGGCTCGTTGGCTTGCCTGCCTGCTGCCTGCCTGGCTGGGCTGCTGTATAGCTGCTGGCTCCACCTGTCGGCCGTTGGCAGTTTGTTTAAGTTAGCAGTCACGTAAAAAAAAACTGTTGTCACATTGCTGCTCGGCCATTTTTAAGGCAAACTCTCTGCCTGACCCATTTCCTGTTTGTATATGTACATGTGCTTGTGTGTGTGTGTACTTGTATTTGTATTTCTTTACTTTAGCTGTTGCTAAATTTACTCTCACTTTATTTGCCCTTTTTTGTGGCACATTATGCTGATATCCGTGGCGCTTACTCAAGTGGCGGCCCCACGAGGGCTGCTTTAGCCGTTTTGCATTTACATTAACCTCAGTATTTTTTATGCTGCTACTTTTTTTCTATTTTGGCATCAAAAAGCGCATTCATTTTCATTAAGTCGTTGCATTTTGCACTTTTGCACAACAACAATGGCGACGACAGCGCGTTCCATTTCCGCTTGTGCCACTTGCTGCACACTATGAATAGGGGCATTGAAACGGTTTGGGTTTGCCCTGTGTACGTGTGTGTGTATGTATGTATGTATGTATGTGTGTGTTTGAGTTTGTTTGTTTGTTTGAGTTATTAATTAAAGGCTATGGAAATGGCAATGGGCCAAATGCAGCATTTTAATAAATTTTGTTGCTATTCTTGTTGTAGCTGTTTCGTTTTCGTTTTCGCTTTGTTTCGTTTGCCACGCTAATATGCAGATGAGTGGAGTGTTGTGAGTATGTGTGTGTGTGCGCGCGCGGGGGCTTTCGCTTACCTCCTCATATATAAAGGTGTCAATCTCCTCGAGCGGCTTGCCGTACATATCCTCCGGAAACGGCTCAAACTTTCGTGGCAACACATCGCCATCCTCCACGGAGGCCTTCGTCCGCGGATGGAAGCCATATTCGCGCACCAGCTGAATGTGCCGATTCTCGTGCTTGACCTGCGACTTCTGCGTGTAGGCAACGACTTGCTGTTTGGCAACTGCAACCAATGCGGGAAAGAGAGAGAGAAAGAGAGAGCGAGCGTGAGTGAGTTGAAGTTGAACTTAAAGTTAGTAAATGATTAAGCACATCACACAGCTTGTCACATAAATCTTAGCGAAAATAAAGTGTTTTGTTCTTTCTGGGTCATAAATGCCCCATCCAGCGTAGAAGGCAACTTTCAAAGTCGTTTCTCGTGCATAGAACCACCCAATACACAGGGTGTCATTTCATATAGACGGGGAAAATATAGTAAAAACTATTCCGTCCGGAAATTCTAAGAGAGGATTCGCACAAAGTTTCAACTAAGTCTTTAAGTCGTAGAATCAATTTCTGTATCGAGTTGAGCGCAAATTAAATTTGCACAGGGTGCAACAGTTTTGAGCATTTCTAGGCTATTTAGAGGAGAATGAACTAAAATAGTTTAATATAAATTTTGAAAAACCTTCGCAGGCAAACAATTCGAATTCGGCGAAAGTACAAATGCTGCAGGCCCTTGGAGGCGGTGTTTCAGGTGCTTTGACCCGATTCGTAGCGCACCCGTTCGACGTGCTGAAGATTCGATTCCAATTGCAGGTGGAGCCGCTAAAGAAACGCTCGAACGTTTCCAAATATGCCGGCATGCTGCAAGCCTTTTCGTCCATCTTCCGGGAGGAGGGTCTGCGCGGCATCTGGAAGGGCCATTTGCCGGCGCAAATGATGAGCATCACCTATGCCCTGGTCCAGTTCTGGTCATACGAGCAGCTCCACACGGCTGCGTTGCAGTATAAATTTGGTCGCGATAATGTGCATCTGTCATATTTTATGTGTGGCGGCCTGGCCGGCTGCGTGGGCACGGTGGTTGCCCAGCCGTTCGATGTGGTGCGAACGCGAGTGGTTGCTGCCGATCCGGGTACGACTGCCGGCACTCTGAAGCCGTTCTCCGGCGTGCACAAAGTATTCAAGAATGAGGGACTGCGAGGCGTCTCCAGCGGCATGATGATGACTCTGGTGCAGATCTATCCGCTAGTCGGTGCCAACTTCGTCATTTACAAGTTCTTAAATCACTTAACGTTTAAGATCATCAGCCTGATACGGGAGGATAAGCATATTAGACGTGAAATACCGGGGCCGCTGCTCTTCATGAACGGCGCCATCTCCGGCGTCCTCGCCAAGGTGCTGATCTATCCGGCCGATCTGATCAAGAAGCGCACCATGCTCAGCCACTTCCAGGAGGACCGCAAGAGCTTCGGCGTCAATCCGCTCTGCGACACGATAATGCTATGCATACGCAGCACCTTGGAGAAGGAGGGGGTGCGCGGCTTCTACAAGGGCATGTGGCCCACTCTGTTCAAGTCGGGCGTCATGTCCGCCTGCTATTTTACCATCTATGATTACTTCAACAACAAAGTCACCGTGCCCTACAAGCAGTACGAACGTCAGCAAAATGAGGAAAAAAACAAAGCCAAAAAGAAAAATTCTAAGTAAACGGATAACCAAAGCGCAATCGATAAACGATAATCAAATTGAAATTGAAATTGATAGGAAGAATCAAATGTGAGTTCAAATCAAACGAAGTGAATATGATAGGAATACTACAAATATGGAGCTTAGGGGAAACTCAACAATTTTCGATAGCAAAAAGACGCAAAGGGAAACCACAAAGCAAAAAAAAAAAAAAAAAAAGACAAATTCCGAATTTTCTTGTCCAAAAATATTTTGTCGTTGTTTTCGTTTTTTTAAACATTTTCTACTCGCATCAAATCTCTCTTTATTTATACACATCGAAATAAAAAATTTTAGATTTAAACAAAAACCACAAACAAATTAATAATGTTATACATAGAAAATTGTAAGTGAATGAAAAAAAAAAAAAAAAAAAAATACAATAAAAAAATATTATAAAATATGTATAAATTAGTTTTATAATTAGTAATAATTTTAATAGAATCCAATAATATTGTTTGTATAGTTCCTATGTCTTGGACACTATCTTTCTATTAAGTACACTAAAACCATCAATTTAGGTACTTTACTGATCGATGGTTTCATAGTAGATGATAGAAAGAAGTTGAACAACTGTCTAATACTCTTTTTTCACTCGATATAAACGTGAATATAGATATACATAGCTCTAGATATATAACCACATACATATATGGCTATAGTTATAGAATGCATCTGATTGACATAGGACCTTTTATGGTATGTAGGCAATTCATCTATACATGGTATTTCTTCATTTCAAATAATCATTGTTTATCTAATTGAAATGAATATCAAAAAGCCCAATTTCTAATACTGCCTGACATTATTCACATTTCCTCTACCAACTCTTATTTCCCTTCGATTGTTACATAAATCAACTTCATAATAATGATAATTAACATAATTATCATTGGCATTAGCGCTAATAATTACGATTGCTCTTGAATTTGCATTGCATCATCGCGTCTTACGTCTTCAACTTGATCTTCAGCTCATCGCTGAACGGGCATCTCGAATCTCCCACCTTCCATCTCGAATCTCCCGTCAACCATCCACCTTCTTCTTGTTCGTCTCTTACACTTTCACCTCAGGCTGACATAATCTCTTGTGGCTTTGACTTTTGGTTAGACTCAAGTTTGTCAAGTTTTGTTTTTGCTCTTAAATTATTACACTACATACTTTATTTTGTACATGGACATAACATTTGGGTTAATCCCCCTTTTATGGGGGCGAGTGAAAGGGGTCGGTTACATAAATACGAAGAGTAAATGTTGCAGAGATGCTGAAATGGATGCTGCGTATGGGTATGCTGATCAGTGAGTGAATCATAACTTATTATCTCCAATGGGGCGCGGGGGCCATGAACATGAACATAGACTAGACGACCAGGGTTGGTCAGAGCGGGCCGTTAGCCTAGGCCCAGCCGGAGTTGCCGCCGGACCAGCCGCCAGTGGGCGGGGAGTAGTTGTAGCCACCGCCCCCACCGCCGCCTGAGCCGCCAGCTGCTGCTGCCACAATGTGGCTGTCATCGTGGCCGCTACTGTAGCTGCTGCCGCCAGTGTAGCTGCTGCCGGTGCTGTAGCTGCTGCCGCCGCTGTAGCTGGAGCCGGTGCCCGTCCAGCCGCTGGCTGGCGCTGCATAGCTGCTGGCTGGCGCTCCATAGCTGCTGGCTGGCGGTCCATAGCTGCTGGCTGGCGGTCCATAGCTGCTGGCGGGCGCTGCATAGCTGCTGAAGCCTCCACCACCACCAGATCCGTGCGAGGAGCCCGAGGAGGCAGCAGTCGCCGCTGCCACGGCTGCCAAATGGGCATCGTCGTGACCACCACCACCGCCGCTGTAGCCGCCATAGCCGCTGCCGCCATGCGATGAGGAGTCAGAGGTGGCTGCAATGGCGGCGATTTGAGCCAGACCATGTCCACCACCGCCGCCGCCGCCGCTGTAGCCACCGGCACCGTGTCCACCACTGTAGCCGCCATAGCCGCCGCTGCCATGGGAAGAGGAAGAGGAGTCCGAGGTGGCAGCAATGGCCGCAATGTGTGCGATGCCGCTGTCATGGGAGCCGCCGCCGCCGCTGCTGTAGCCATGGCCTCCGCCACCGCCGCCATGTCCACCGCCAGCGCCTGCAGCAGCAGCGATCACAGCCAGTTTGCCGTCGTCGTGTCCGTGACCGTGTCCACCGGCGCTGTAGCCACCGGAACCACCATAATGACCGCCGCCAAGCGATCCACCATGATTCTCAGTGATGACAGCAAAGGTGCTCACATGGGGAGCACCGCCGCCGCCAAAGCCGCCACCGCCGCCATATCCACCGCCGCCATGACCCTGATCGTGTATTTCGTAAGTGGAAAAGTCGCCGCCGCCTCCGCCATGGCCATGATCGTGGCCACCGTCGCCTCCACTTTCCGGCAGGTGGATGCGTATGTGCACGTGCTCACGTCCAAAGGTTGGCTTGCTCCATGCAGCGGGACTGGCGAGCAGCAGAGCGCTCAGCTATACATGCGAGAGATAGAGAGAGAGGGCAGGGAGAGCGAGAGGGAGATAGCACTAGTTAGCAACCACAGCGATGAGCTGCAACAGCAGCAACCACAACAGCAACACTCACTATGAAATACGCCGCCATAACGCTTCGATTTACTGGATAAAGGATGTGGGCTTTGTTTTTGCTTTGTGTCGTCTGCTGGAACAACGACAAACTGTAAATGATTCGGCTAACGATGCAGCGGCGCGTTTTATACACGAAACGAACTAACGGAGCAGCCGAATTGAGCAGCGCTCGGGTTATGTAAGCTGGCCACTGGCAAGTGCAAGAGCTTATCAACAGAGCAACAGAGCACAGAGAGAGAGAGGAGGAGAGTGAGAGTGAGAGCGAGGGCGCGCGGCAGAGGGCAAGCAGAGCAGAGAGTGCGTCTGCAGGCAGGTAGTCAGGCAGTCAGGCAGTCAGGCAGTCTGCAGACGAAGTCGGCTCACTGAAGGCCGTCGCGTATTGCTGTTAGGTGCTTTCGTTACATTTCGTTCGTTTGTTTTTGTTTTCGTTTCTCAATTTTCGTTTTCGTTTCGTTTCGTTTTTTGAGAGTGTTGTTGACCTTTTACACGAGACGAAGCGCCCTTTGCAAAACTTGTGCGCGAGATCAAGATCGAAGAAACAGAAACAAACAAGAAAAGCATAAGCAGCTCTTCCGCTCTCGCAGCACCACACAGAAGAGGGCCGGCGCGGGGCCCATTGCTCCACTTTCATTGACTAACAGTGAAAATCTGGTTTGGTTAAAAAATTTCAAATTATTTAAATCGTATATCGAGCAGAGCAACAACAACAACAACAATAACAATATCAAATTAATATGCAAGTTGTGCAGCTGCCCTCGCCGCGCTTGAACCCCTCCTGTCGACATTTTCATTATTTATTGTTGTTGCCACTGCTCATGCTGCTGCTGCTGCTGCTGCTGGCGTCGAATGCTGGCTGGACATTAACTGTTATTTTGATTGTGTTTACGTTTATGCTTATGGTAATGTTGCCTGCTGATATGAACTTCCTATTGGCAATTCCTTTTGTCACATTGTTGTTGCTGAGCCTTAGGCAATAAACAGATATAACAACAACAACAGAAGCAGCATCAGCAGCAGCAGCAACAACCGTTACTTGCATAACGGCCCCGTTGGCTGGCACTGGAAATTGCTTTTGCTTTGATTGGCCAAACCCTTTTTGCTCTCGGGTTTTTTTCGGCATTTTTGTTTCATTTTTTTTTATTTTTATTTTTTAATTCGAGTCTTTTCGTCTCGTTCGAACTCGTTGTTAACCCATTAACATTTATGTATGAAATGTCTCTCTTCAAGCAATGATTAAGCTGTCATCAGCCAGGCAACTTATTTCATTTTAATTGCCGCCAATTACAATTGCTTTCAAACATTTCAAATATATATACATTTATGCCAGTGTGTCATAGATCTATTTAAATGTGCTCGAAATCATTTAGCAAATTATGTTAAATTAATAATTTGATTGCTTATGTGCAAATTTAATGAAATGTTGGACTTGTTATTAATAAAATCTGAGATTTGGAGATGTTAAAATAGAGGGCTATGGAAGAGGATATCAATATTTGTGTGCATATTATAGTATTATTGTATGTTGTATATTTTTATACAATGTATATAAAATTTAATATATAGCAAATAGTGGTATATATTTCATATATGAAATGTCTTGCATATATTTATGTATGTATATATTATATAAATTTATGACGAATTTGTTTCTATTTGAAAACCAATTATTATTAAGTATTAAAGATTAGTTATATATGTATAACTAAATAAAATATATAATATTATCAATTTCTTTATCGAAATGTGAATTCTGATTAAATTTATAATTCCAACTTTTGTATGCTATATGAATTGGATATTTGAATTCAGTTTCTCAACTGATATTAGCACGAATTTTACATAAAATATATATATTAAATTAAGTATTAATATATATTTTAATCACGTTTTTTTTTTAGCATATTAACAAAATAATTTTAAAATAAATTTCCTGCGCCTTGTTCTGAAATTATGTATATTCTGCATATTTTCATAAACAAATTTGCGCTAAATTTTAGGTCTAGCCTATAAATTGAAACATTTATAGAAGCTCTTAAATAGGTAATATTTTTAGAATAGGCTCTGACTATTTAGAATTTTTTGTTGGGTCTGTCTCAAAATTGTTTGAATCAAAGATTTTCAAGTATGAATATTACATTTTTATGAATAATTCATTTTTAAATTCTTACTTTATTCAATTTAAAGCAATTTGGAGAGCTTTTGCCCCACGAAGCGTAACAATTTGAACAGCATGAGCAAATCATATTTAAATACAAGTCTCTTCTGCTTCTGTAATTTTGCTTTACATAGAATGTCTACACACACACACACACACACATACATTTATACACAGGCATATCGATGTAAACATAGATACGTAAGCGGATTATTTTGTGCATGACAACAAATTCGCATTGCCAGTTTTTTCTTAAGTAATTTCTCTTGTCTGATTTCGTAATTGGGTTGCCATTGGGTTAAGACTTGCCACAGGCTGGTTGCAGCCAGTTGCTGCCACAGTCACAGSCACAGCCAGTGCCACTGCCACTGCCACTGTCTCTCGCTCGCTGTTGCTGCCACTAGCAAAACCGAAAACATCATCAACAACAGCAGCAACAACAACAGCAACAACAACAACAATCATAACACGCTCTGCTGCAGCGTTGGCGAAATTGTAGCGCAAATTGTCTCGATTCGCCGTTCATTTCTACGCGTTCTTACATCAGAGACGAGGTCATGGTCACCGAGCCCGCATCCCATCTTTGGTCAGCATCTATATGTAGCTGTAGCTATGGCTGTAGCTGTAACTGTAATTGTATATGTATCTCACTGATTGTATCAGACTAAATGTGTCTGTATCTGCATAAGACTATATGTGTGTGTGTGTGTATCTGAAACTTTTACCAAAATATCTGTATCTATTGCTGTATCTGTATCTGACTAACTGCATGGTCAGCTTGTTCAGCTTATACATATATGTTAACTGTAATTGTATCAAATGTATCTCTATCTTCATTAGACTGTATGAATGAATTTATATCTGATGTATCTGCATCTGTATCTGTGATTGACTAAATGTATATGTATCTTATGTGATTTTGAAGTTTATTGTTTGCTTAAGTAACTCAAAATTTGTATCTACTATATGTAGGACCATTTGAATGTGTGTATCTCACTTTATTCGTATCTCTAGCTGAAAATATACTATAATAAATGTATGTGTACTAACTGTATCACTCAATGGGTAACATAAGTCTTATAATAAGAAACTATATCTCAATAAAAGTATCTATTCTTACCAAATGTATCTGAATGTGTCTGAAACTATCTAAAGTTAATTATTTGCTAATATATATATAGTAAAGTAGATATAGGTCACTATCTGTAACTGAATTTTACTCATTGTAGGGGTTTTTAAGTATTCGTATCCATCAAAATGTATCTGTATCTTTTCTTCATGTATCTATATCTCGCTATGTTTGCATTTATATCTTAACTAAAATGTTTTTTTATTTGGCTAGTCACACAAAATCTGCATCTTCAGCTCTCCAAATGTATCTGTTTGCAACAATAAGCACCTGCAACTCAATGTATCTGAATTTCATCTTGCTTTCGCTATCTATCTAAGTATCTGTATGTGCTCATATTGTATCTGAATAAAAAATCTCTGTGTTTTCATTTAAATATAAACATGTATCTATATCTGTGCATTTGTATCTCTAAGTGCCTGCTCGTGTTCTTCATATGTATCTATATCTTGTATCGTGTGTTCTGTATCGGTATATACCAATATATTTACATCTTTCCGTCAAAATGTTCACACATATATATTCTTCGTATTTCCATCTCACATCATATATCTATTAAGTATATGTATCATCATGCTCATATATGTATGTATATATGCCAAGCATCTACATGCGCCTTCCATGTCTGTTTATTTAACAATTTGTATCTGTAAGTATCTTGGCAAGTATCTGCATGGTTTCTCCATGCGTCTGTATCTGACATTTTGCATATGTATCTGTAGTTTTCTATCTGTATCTTTCTGCTCTCTATGTATCGGTATTTGCATATTCTCAGTCTCTCTCTATCTATCTGTCAGTCTGTCTGTCTGTCTCTCTCCCTCTGTTGCTTGGTCTGTTTTAGTTCATGGTCCTGTCCATTGTTTGGCTTTCGCTGCTGATTAGTAATCCAGCTGCTGCTGCTGCTGGCCAAGTGGGCGGCAATATTCATTAACCGTTATTTCTTTTTTACATCCGAGAGAAATGGGATGGGGATGGGCGAGGTGGGGCTGACACACATATAGTATATGTAACAATGCAAATCAACAGATTAACATTTCTCATACGGTGTTTCGTTTTGTTCGGCGTGTTGTGCAAGTCTGTCCGATCAGATTCCATCTATTGCCAAATTAATTAATATACATTTTGATTCACTCAAAAGGCAACATAAATGTGTAAACAAAAGACCTATCAAACGCCATCAGAGGCACCCGACTCATATTATATACCTATATATATATATTAATATCATCAAACCAGGTGCTTACATAAACTCCACTTCACCATCAGCTAACAACAATGGCAACAGCCAGAGCCAGAGCAAGAGCAAACAGCAATGAGGGCAGCTGTTACAAATATAATAAGAGGCGGAAAAAGTTTTCAATGTCGCACCGTTGGCTCTGATGCCCTTAATTCAATTAGATCTTGGATAAAAAGTGAGAGTTGTTAATTAGGAATTTATGTAAACGATGTAAAAGCTATAAATGAGCGTGATTAATGTTAATACTGTCCTAAGATGTGTTTTAAGATTGAAGATATGTTGTAATAGCAGTAGCGATCGATAAGCAAAGAGACCTTGTGGTCGACATAAATATTTAGAGATGTGGAGATAGGAAGATGGGTAGACAAATAGATGGATAGAGAGAATAGGGAAAAGTAGCGATAGATAAAGCATAGATAGAAAAATTGGTAGAGAAAGAAGAAGAGGTAGGAAAATATATTTAGGTGGATAGATATGGATGGGTAGGTAAATATAGATTGATGGATTTACACACTGATAGATAAATAGATAGATAAATGGATAAATGGATTTACACACTGATAGATAGATAGATAGGTACAGTAAAGTCTAGAGGGATAGTTCAATATACATATAGATATATACACCTACAAATGAGCTCGATAGATAGATTAAGACTCATATAGCTTAATAAATGGCTAATATATCTATTTCAACATCTATAAATACCTATATGGATAAAGAGGAAAAGAAAGGGAATGTAAATAAAAAACCGAATCAAGCTATTTCACCTCTTTCAAATCTATTTACATTATTTTCAGCTTTCAATCGATTTGAGCAAATAAATGAAAGAAATCAATGATATAATAGATGTTAATGCTTTTAATTATTGATGCCTTACATGAATGGAGAGATCTGAAGTTGTTTTATAGCAGTTTTGTAGTACTTCCCCAGGGGCAAACAATCAATGAATGGTGGACAAAGGAAACAGTTTGACAGACATGACTTGAGTATTCGCTATACCCGGAATTAGTTGGAGGGTATAGCTAGTAACGATGATTAGGTAAAAATCATATGAAATGCATTTTGAATACAATAATTTCGACTCTAGTCCATCCACATATATAAGGCAGGCAGTACAGGTCGTTAGCTATCCGAGAAAATCAAGTTCGTGTGTAACGCTTGATGAAGATTAACAGTCGAGACTACGACAACAAAGCAGCGGGTTATTAAGCCAGGCCACTGAGAGACAGCGAGAGTGAAACAGAGTGGGACGGCGGTAGCGGGCGAGACAGAGAGCCAAAAAGAGAAAGAGTCTGAGTCTGGGAGACTGGAACTGGGAAGCAGGGCTCCAATGATGGGCAACCGGTTCGCGGTCGCACATTAACATTAAATGCAGCCAACGCACATCTTCCCTGTATTGCATAATGCAGCGGCAGCAGCAGAGGCAGCAGCGACAGCAGCAACATCACCTACAACAACAATAACCTGATTGCAACATCTTCGGCAGATGCGCGAACAAAGTTTATGCGGAAGCAAAATGATTCTCAAAAGCGCCTCAGATACACAGAAAGGAAATTGTGCACACACAAACACTCACACTCACACACACATACACACAGGTGCAGCGGCACAGTTATGTAGCAAAAGTTGGATTTTCCAAAAATACCAAAAATAAAATGAAAAACCAAACAAACAAGTGTGCTCTTACACGGGCAATGCACGACTAGCAGTTACCCTGGCAATGGAATCAGACAGACTTTTGATGTGGGAGAAATGCTTTGAGTTCATGCAGACATATGGTAAGTTATTAGACTCCAGCGGAGAATGTGTTGGGTTAGGCAAGAAAATAAGTAGAAAGAGACTTGAGAACAATCAGCATACAAATCTTAAATCTATTATACTCGTAGTTTTATATATCATAGGGACCCCTTCTAGTCACCGCTTTAGCTATAAGCTAGTATTCATTCTATTTAATGTAACTGTTATAAATAATATAATATAATATACAACAATTTTGTAGCTGTACTTTGAGATACTTTAAGATCCAGTAAAGTTCTTAAAGTGTCTAGGGTATGCAACAAAGGTGAGCTATCAAATAGCTTTATATACTTAATGAGCGTGTTCATATTTAATTTTGATAACTTTAACTAAACGTCGGCTTGAGTTAGGTTTAAATAAATGTCAGACAAGAGGACTTATGCGATACGTAAAAGAATATTTTGTGCATATTTTACGAGCATTTACATACGAAATTTTACAGCTGTCACAGTTATTGAGGTATGCTGCAGCTAACGATGGGGTATTGAAAAAAGAAGAGGGATATATGTATTTGATATATTTCCTATCTGTGTATACTTGAAGAGCATCAAATACATATAAAATTTAACAACTTGTTCGAGCTGTGTTACAAAGCACAAGAATTTACTATGGCTAAAACTGAAATATTAACTATCTGTCTGAACATTTCGAGTATAGGCGTAACACATTTTATAGCGCCAGCTCTTTAAGTATTCGAGTTATGATAGATTGGGCCACAACTGTATGGCATAGCAAATTTCAAGCTAGGGCTTGAAAAGTCTTTGATTAAGGCATAAGGAATCACTGCTGACATACATTTTTGGTTGTCTTTTTTAGAGATATCAGCTATGCCTTAAGATATATACTATGTATAAGATATACATCTACTATATATTGTTCATAAGTATATCAGATATTTCAGCTCATTTCAACTAGCCCAGGTGTTGTACCACACTCCTTGCCCTGCCCATTTGCCTTGTCCCACCTGTTACCTGCACGGTCAGCAAATCGTCAAGTTCCCTGGTTAACCAATCAAGAGGTATTAAAACCAGTCAAAGTTGCAAGTCGCCCGATGCATTCATCTTAAAGCGTCGCTGCAGCTGTGCAGACCTTTGCACAAGTTCAATGGTGACTGGGAGTTGCGAGTCTGCATGTATGTGTGTGTGTGTGTGTGTGTGTGTGTGACATAATTGCCAGTCAGCGTGCTGCACTTTCTTTCTTTTGCCATACGCTTCCTGGCCGAAGGCAAATTGAATTGCCACCAAAAAAAGCCAAAAAAAAAAAAAAAGAAATGATAATACAAAAAATGAAATAAAATAAAATAGAATACAGTCCAAGGTAAACGGCTGCACAGTTTGCTCTACATATTTAATTAGTTTCCGTTTCCGTTCATATTTGTAATCCGTTGTCGCTGCCTGCCTGCCTGCCAGCCTGCCACGCCCCCTGGCTCACGCGCTGCGCTTTGGCCTTTGTGCATTGTTTCCCGCTGCACTGAGCGACGGTTTGCGTTAAGGCCAAACAATTGGCCCAGCTGGCAATTGTAGCAATGCCACGCGTGCCCACCCTCCCCCCTCCCGCGYTGCCCCAAGCATTGCGTAACCTATGGCCACTCATTAGAGAGGCAGGGAGAGGGGCGTATGTGTGTGTGTGAAAGAGATGGCTAGTCGCTCCCCTAGCGATTGCGTTTTTAGTTTATCATTTATTTAAACAGCCTCCAAATCCTGCTGCTCCTTAAGCATTGCTTTGTGCTCGTATGTGTCTCTATGTGTCTGTATGCGTCTGTATGGGTGTGTGTGTGCGCACACACGGACTCCGTTTGTATGTGGCATATTTGATTCGAGTTTGAGTCAAATTTTATTGAGCTGCACACACAATGAGCAATGGCTATTTAATTATGCTGATGAGCCAAGCACGAGTCCGGAACGTAGCCAACTGCCCTTACACCTAACGTCAGCTACCGCCATCCTCCCCCACCACCCCTCGCCAACCAGCAGAGCAAAAAAGCAGGCAACACAACACACGCACACACAGCACCAGCAGCTAACCGTAAATACTCGCCCACATCATGCAGATGTGCCCCTCGCTGGCCCCTGGCGTAGCCCCTGCCCGGTGCTGTGGCCCCTGCTCTAATGCCCGCTTCATTGCCAATCCCTGCACAGCTTTTAGCCTTGCGTGTCGCTATACCCTGTAACTAGTCATATAATTGGGTAGGACAACATTCGACTGGACATGGAATCAGTTTACTAATTTTTATTGGGCAATTCAAGTATAATCTTCTATTTCGAATGAGTCCTTTGATAATAGAGTAGTAGAAGCTAATACAAGGCCATAAAATACCCTGTAAATAGCTTTATTGACAAGAATTTTGAAGACAAGGTATGCAAGCCAATTGCCGATTTCTTTCCATTGGTTATCTCTAAAATTAATTACAGGGTAGCTGCTAGTCGAATGCTCTGTAAAACACACTAATGTGATTAAAATACAATCTACTATATACGCTTAGATGCATGTTCAAGATATGCTCTAAGCCCAACTGCCACTCGTGTTCAACCTCTGCAGTCAATGCACAACTTTACAGGGTATCTTTTAGTCTAATACCTAATACCATTTGGTAGCCAATCAATTTCAAGCTTAATAATCTACGGCCAAATCTAGAGAGTATTTCTTCGTCGAATATTTTATGAGAAATAGTAATCGAGACCTATTTATATTATCTACAGAGTATCTTTTAGTCGCGCACGTTACAATAAACTATTTATATACAGGGCATCTCTTAGCCGTGCAAGCCGCGCCTTTTAATTTTCGCCTGTTTGCCTTTGGGCCAGTTGCAGGGTGTCAAGAGCTGTGCCCCGCCTCCTGCTCCTCCTTTGCCTGGGGCTCATTTCATATGCATGGCCCAGGACCGGGCGCAGATTTGATGGCAACTCAAACCAGGCGTCGTTCGCCTCGACAATCTGTTTCATACTCGATATTTATGGCAACTACTATGTACTATATATATATATACTTGTATAAATCTGTCTGTGTGTGTGTGTGTGTGAGTTCGTTTGTGCTTGTGGCACCTTTATGAACTTACCTTTATCATCATTCTGTGCTGCAAGCGTTTGATCATCACTCATCTTGACTGATTGTCCTCGTTAATATCCTTGTTTGCTTTTGTTGTTGCTCTCTTACCGCAGCTGCATGCTCTCTCGCCCTCCCACTCTCTCGCTCTCTCTCTCTCGCTCTTTCTCTTTCGTTGTCTCTCTTTGTCGTTCACTCTGTCTCTGTCACACTTTAGCACTGCTCAGACATTGGGATCGTCGCATTTAGCGTTAATATTGTCGCCTTTGTTAGCATTTTGCATTCGCCTCATGTCCTGCCTTGTGACATCCTTCGGTCGGCGTCTTTAGCTATGCAAATCTGTTGAGTCTGACGGGTATTTCCAATAATGGGCATGGCTCAACGCCTTTGCCTTTTGTTGCTGACACTTTGTTGTTGCCTCGTTTATTGTTATCGCTGTTGTTGTCGTTGTTGTTGCTGCTGCTGCTGCTGCTGCTGATGATGATGTTGTTGTTGTTGTTGCTGTTGGCCTCACATTTTGTGCTTTTGTAGTTAGGGCTTACTGCAGGCAATTGATATGCAAAGCAATTGGGGTAAAGAAGAAAAAAGGACAACTTATTAGTTTGGTAACTCATTTAGTTAGGCTTCTATAAGTAAATTGTGCTACGCAGCCAAATTAGAAGATATTTGCCTTAATATATGCATTCAATACTATTGGGCTCTCATGGAACTCATTTCATTCGAGAGTACAATGAAGTAAATTGAATTTTATATTATTTTCATTTAGATTGCCCAAGCCTAGGCACTCGTCTTATTGAAGGCCGGGATTGGATTATTTACGACTGCATAAAGTTCAGAAATAGTAGATATAGGGGGAGCTGTTACATGTAAAGAAGCGTAAGCACACATGCACACACATACACATGCATACGCTCATGCTCAGCTTAGCTTGAACTGCATTTCTGACTTTACTATATTTATTTGGGTTTCTCTTCTCTTCTCTTGGGGTTTGGTATCAACTATATATGGACTGAAAGAGAGAACTTGACTTTATCTATTCAGCTTGTCAGCTTTATCAAGAATTTATATAGTTTATGGGATCCGTCTCGCCTCCCTCTGCCTCTTAAAAACAAATTTGATAAAAAATAATAGAATCCAGCCTTATTAAATCAATTATAATATAATAAATATATTGCATATAAGCCTGTTTAATTACTTGTTTAATTATCTGCTTATATCGTACGTAAATGTATATATGATATACAGTCCATATAAATGCACGTTCTTTCTCGTCTGTCAGCGGCTTACGTTCCGCTCAATTGTCTCTGCTCATTAAACGGAAATTGGCTGCCAGATAATGTGCAGTTTAAGCCACCTACACGACGGCTTACGCGTCGTATGCGCAATGTAAGCTTGCTATCGCATTACGTTTACGTAACGTATACGTAATGTGCGTAGCGGAAAAGATAAGCGAGCGAGCGTGCAAAAGAACAGGGGGAGAGAGAGGCGTAGAATAAATGAAGAAGCGGAAAATGTGCACGCTTTAAGACTTAAAGCATTACCAAAAGATAAAGTTAATTAACATTATGGTACACACACACACACAAACACACACACACACACACACGTACAACTAAAAGTAAGTTAAAAGAATTGATAAATGGCGCACAGCAAAAGGCAAACAGAAGGAGGCCAAGCTTCGGATGCTGTGAGCAGCTTTTATGTGTATGCGTGTGTGTGTGAGTGTGTATGTTTGCGTGTGTTTGGTTGACTTGGGTGCTACGTAGGCCTGCTTCCTGTTGTGTTTTTGCAAAACTTCTTGACACCGCTGACGCTGGCGAAATGGAAAACGTTAGATGAAGTGCCATAAAATATTCAATATCAAGTACGGCACAGCATCTCGCATAGTTGCAGGCAGGTGTGTCTTGCCAGCGAGCCCCCCCCTCCCTGTCGGAAGCCGCACTGTGATTGAATGAGCGTGGGCAAGTGGGAGCGTGGGGCGTGCTGCTCGAGGAGCTGGAGTACTTAGGGGGGACAGGTGTCAAGAGTACACAACAATGCAGTCATAAAGGCGCACCGGCCTAAGCGGGCGAGAGCTCTGAGAGCTGTGTGTACTTATGTACAGTGAGGGCTCTGATAAAGCGAACAATGAAGCGATAAAGAGCACTAAGAACTTGCATCAGCTCTAAAGTAATAGATGTGTTTACATTGAAGAGGGTTCTTTGAAAAATTATAAACAGAAAATGAAGATAGAATAGAATTGGCTTCACTGTGTCTTATCCTATCAAATATGCGCATATATAGGATTCTACTATTCGAGCTGCTCCTGAGGGATGCTTTAGTGCCTGCACTGCTGGATTCTATTTTAGTATCTGATTTAATATTCCATGGATAAGTAGTGAAATGATGGAGATAATTGAGGCAATCGTGGGAGTCCTTACGATGAATTTATATGTGGCAGCAGGAGTTACTGTGCATTTTTGAGCAGCAGATAGAATTCAGGATATCCAGTGACTCGCACAATCTGGATAAGAGCTTTTGTTATCTACACTGCTCAGGTTGTATTTCGTAATTTCTACTGTAACTTATGTGAAGCTATTTAATCATATATGTACTTCTATGCATATACAAAATTTATGGATAAATAGCTGCATCTATTTTCATTATATTCCAGTTGTGCCTTAATCTTATCATATAAACTTAATCCTATATGAGTACTCGAGCAACTGCTTAAGTTTATAGCTCATATACTCATATATTTCCCGCATATTGCGGCTGTTCGTTAATTGAGGTTTTACTGTCTCTTTGCTGCGTGCGGCAGTCGATAAGCAAATGGCCAAGCAGGGCACAGAAATCAGTTAGCGGAACCCCTGCGGTACGCCAACGAACCACCTCTCTTTCCCCCCTATTTTGCTGCTCTCTGTCTGCCTACTCTTTCTCTCTCGCTCTCGCTACCGCTCTCTCGAGCTCACCTGCACCGCTTCGTTTGTTGTTTTGCTTAGCACACAAATCGTCAAAATATATTTTATATTACAACAATAAGAGCAGCTCAGGCAGCTATGTGGCGGCGCTTATTTTAATTTTCTTTTATTTTTCATTTTGTTTTTTTTTTTTTTGGGCGTGACCTCAGGGCATTTCGTTAGGAAGCTGGCCTGCGCCTTGAGCTATGCTACACTTTTTGGCCTTTCGTTGGCTGCTTCGTCGCGTCGGTTGCGCGCTAGTTAAGTGCAGCACATCAAGCGCTAATTTATGGGCCAAAAATACAAAACAAAAAAGAGCAGAAATCACAAAAAAAAAGCAGAAGCAGAAAAACAGCAAAACAGAAACGGAAAAACAACAAAAAGTAAGGCAATGCCACAAGCCACAACCGCAAAGGCCGCAATAGGGCACACAGCAAACGCCACGCCCCCTCGGCCATTCGGCAACACATGTGCAAACAAACGCAAATACAAACACACGCCAACAGAGCAGTACCCACCCACCCACACACACACACACATATGCATATACATATATGCTGCATTGAAAATGTTCGCCGATTTACCTTAAAAGATGTTTAATTGCTTTTTATTGCATTTGTTTGTAGCAGTTGTTGTAGCTGTTGTTGTTGCTGTTTTCTTTATGTAATCGCTGAACAACGCACAGGATATGCACACAGGCGCACGCACACGCATATGTGTGTGAGTGTGTGTCTGTGTGTTTGTTTGTGTGTATTTACATTTCAATTTGCCCAATGCACTAGTTACTATTTATATATATACACACACACACACGCGCGCATTCACATACCAATATATACATATGCAGGCTGCATTCGATTGTTGCAATTTGCTCTTCTGCTCTCCTTTTGCTCCCTTCTCCTTTTACAGCGGCTACTTCAATTGGCCGCAGCTGGGCACACTTTTGTTATTATTATTGCGCTTTCTGCTAGTACTGCTGCTTCTTCTTCTTCAACTCTTGTTGCTGCTGCTTCTGTTGTTGTTGTATGTATGTATGTATATATTTTACATTAATTACATTTTTATTTTAGTCGCAACTCTCTATGCAACAATGCTGGCCAAGCAAGCACAGCGGCGCTGGCAAAAGCAACAAAAATGAAAACAGCGCTGGCACGCACATTGTTTGACACACAAACACACACACACACGCATACCACGACAAATGGCGACGACGACGGCGACGACAACGGCAACGACGACGACGACGACGACGACGGCGGCGTTGCACGCACACACCTTAAGCCGAGAAGTGTTATTACAATTTACTGTTGATTTCTTTTTCTGGTTTGAAGCGCGTGCGAGCGAGCGCGCAACAGCACAGGCGTCACAGTTACTGTAAGTGTGTGCGTGCGTGTTTGTTCGTTCGTTCGTTCGTTGCTGTGTATGTGTTAGTTTGGTCTTGGCTTGTGCGAAAGCGTGCGAAAGAGCGCGAAAATGTAGGTTAGTTTCCGTTATATCCTGCTTTACAACAACAACAATATGCACATTTCACTCTATTTTTGGGCGCAGAAGACTTTTTCGCTGCTTGCACTTGTAAATCTCTGTTTCTCAGACTTGCTAAGTGTATGTGTGTGAGTGTGTGTGGGTAGGAGTGTGTGAAAGTGTATGCCCCTCAGTCTGTGTGTGTGTCAGTGTGCTGTCTTTTCTTATATACGTATAAATAAAATATCGCTTTTATGGTTTTTTCTTTTTGTTTTTTTTTTTTTTTTTTTTTTTTTTTTTTTTGTATTATTTTATTTGTTCTTTTGTATTTGTGTGGCTCGCACTACGGACGCGTGCATTGCAATGGCGACTGCTCGGTTCTAAGGTTCGTTGGTGACTGACTGCGAGCAAACGGGTTTTCCTTTCCGTTTGACGTAATCTGCAGAGCAGCCAGACGATTAAGTACCAACGAAATTTCCCCCTATAGCGCACATGCCAGGACACGCGCGCTCTCTCGTTCTCTCTCGCTCTCCCTCTCTCTGTTCCAGTGGCGTGTGCCATGTGCGTGTCGCAGCGACCCACGGCGTATGTTTTGGCCAAAATGTCAGAAGTAGCCGACCAACCAGGCTAAGCAGTCGAAGAACACCAAAACGTGGCTTGGACTCGGCTAAACTCGTCATTGCCAGCGTCGATTTGGCACAGTTTACTTCTTTTCTTTTACTCCTGCCGGCATAAACAAATGCGCTGC